TTCCATCATATATATAACCCTTCAGGCAAAAATAGTAACCCTTGCACAACACCACCAACCTCCCAGTGCAACAGATTAACCTAGGTTTGAAGATAGATCAAACCCTCAACACAAAAGTTTGCCACAAAATCTACACACCTGAAAATAACACTGACAAGTCCAATATATACCATATCACAAATAGTCCATCCTCCACTTCTAGGGACCGTTCAAACAATAACTTTTAAGTAGAAACAATCTACCTTGCGCAAAACCAAAAAATATCCCATTGGATCTCATCTAGAAATAGATAGGATGCATGCTCTGATACCAATTGAAATTCTGGTATGACAGAACTTAGATGTCTTATGACATGTTAAGACATCTGATCCGACATTATCAAACATGTATGGTATTAACAATATAAAACAATACTGAAAAGCATAAACAACACCATAATTGTTAACCCAAGTCGGAGAAACTCTCATACTCTGGGGGCATACCAAACCAGGGGAAAATCCACTATGATAGTATCAATTCGAAGCTAAACTCCCTGTTTACAACTTCTCACTTAGTCACTACCCCTTCATAGGTTTCTATCTAAGACTCACCTAGATTTGAGGCCCTCCTCAATCCCTCTTCAATCACAGATAGCGATTGGATCAACACAATTCTGAATAAACAGGAAGATACACTTCCATAACAATCACTAGCCAAGACTCTTGACTAAGAACACAGCTTGGAGTTTCTTCAAAGCTTCTTCCAAGAACAATACTCAACTCATTACTTCACAGCTTCTGAGTGAGAACACAGTGACCATCTCACAACCCGAGTGGTTCACTTACATCAACTCTCTTAGAAAGCGACAAAAAGACAAAGCCCTAGAGTTTTACATCTTGAACTCGTATCTTTCCTATGTTACAAACACTTCTATTTATAACTTATACCCAACTGGATTTGGGCCTTCAAAGTACAACATATAAGTTGTAACAAATAGCAGTAACTTTTGCTACAATCAAGGTCTTCAATCAAATCTTCCTAAATTATCTCCAAATTTAGAAACTGTATATTCTTCAATATTCTTATTTGATTCTTCTTGACCTTTAAATCAAAGCCCTATAATGTTGCATAATATTTCCCAAAATATTTTGTATCAGTTAAATCAAAACAGAATTTAACTGTTCACTTCAGCTCAGTTGAATCATAAGATACGACTTCTTGCTTAACTTGTTCTTGTTAGCAACTTAATACATCATATCTAACATATTGTTGTATTATTTGTTTTATAAAAATTAATGCCAATCCTTAAAACTACAGAACTTACACATAGGAACTTATGACTGCAACTTAACAACTCTTTCACAATATTACCCTTCTTTTCTGATATGGAAGATCAGACAAAGCTGCAACCATAGAGCATACTAACAACACTTATCCTCGGACCAAAAGCTCAGATACTAGTTGTTGAGAAAAAACAAACAAAGCATTGATAAAAAGATGAACACAATAACAATACAAGAACATAACGTGAAAACTCTAAAACTGGAGAAAAAACACAATCACTATCAATAGACAACCAGAGAATAATACTATGTGAAAATTGTTATAGCACATAATATACCCTAAAGCATCCTAAGCCCTCAGTACACCCACTCCCTCCAAAAAAATGTGTTTACCTACATCTCGCAACATTTTAATACAAGAGTATAAGAGAACAAGGAAATTTATATATATATATATATATATATATATATATATATATATATATATATATATATATATATATATATATATATATATATATATATATATATATATATATATATATATATAAGCTTAAAATGTTTTTGACAGGTGTATCCTGTAACAAAGAACTTGAATCCTATATATAACCTTGGACTTTCTCTTTCCATCACCAAACTAAGCGATGTGGAACTTTGAAGAACTTGAATCTTATATATAGTCTTGGAGTCCCTCTTCCTTCACAAAACTAAGCAATGTGAGACTTCTTCTACATGTATTTTTTCAACCAACCCTAATAAGATCATGGCTCATTTTAGCAGCGTCATATGTATAACATTTAATCTAACTGAGAGTATGTGGCTGTCAAATGATTTCAATAATGCCTAGGAACTTTGGGAAGGTGTAACTTGATATTGAAGTTCTTAGAATGTGTGGGTTGGGCCAAACTCAATCCTAAAAAACCAAATTTAAGGATGAGGATTATCTCCACTTATAAGCACATGTTCAGGACATATATTGTCTGATGTGGGACTCTTAATACCTCCACTCATGCCCAAGATTGATCGTCTAGAGCTTGGAACTGGGGTGGCCCAACGGATATGAAATTGGGCTTTAATACCATCTTAGAATGGGTGGGTTGGCCTAACTCATCCCTACCAAACTAGCTTGAAGGGTAATGATTGTCCCCAATTATAAGCACATGTTCAGGCCATATATTGTCTGATGTAAGACTCTTAACACCCTCTCTCAAGCTCTGGATTGAGCGTCTGAAGCGTGAAACTAAATGGTGGATGGCTTGATAGAGGAGTGGTATAATGGATCTTAAATCGGGTTCTGATAGCATATTGAAGTATATGAGAGACGTTTGAATAAATCAAGTTTTAAAAAGCATTATATATATTATGTTATATATAGAGATATTACAACTAATTACATGTTATAGTCGATGTGAGACTATTTTATATACAAATATTCGTAACACTTCCCCTCAGGCTGAATCATATATGTCATGTGAGCAGAGCTTGTTACAAATGTAATTCACTTGATAACCCCTAAGAGACTTTATAAACATATCATCTAATTGGTTTTTGGATTTTACAAAATTTATGGTAATTTCCCCTGATAGTACCTTGTCCCTTACATAATGACAGTCTATTTCTATGTGCTTGGTTCATTCATGGAAAATTGGATTAGATGCAATCTGGTGTGCTGCTTGATTACCGTATATTAGTTTTTTGTTTTGAAGATCTCATTTCCTAAGTTCTGAGAGTAAATTTTTCAGCCATGCAAGTTCCTTTGAGGCTATTTCCATAACACAATATTCAGCTTCAACAATAGATAGTGCAGCTGTATTTTGTTTCTTGCTTCTCCATGAAATTATTTTACCTCCAATCAGAACACAATATCCAAATGTGGATCTCCTATTCAATGGTGATCTGGCTCAGTCAACATCTGAATAACAAATGATTTTAGCATCTCCCTTATTTTCATATAATAGCCATCTTACTAGTGCATTCTTTATATATCTAAGAATTTGAATGACTGCATCCCAATGACTATCATAAGGAGTGTTCAAAAAATGGCTCATAATGCTCATCACAAATGTAATATCTAGTCTAGTGACTATAAGATAGTTGAGTCTTCCCACAATTCATCGATATCTTCCCATGTCTTTCAATGGCTCCCCCTGACTTGGAAGAAGCTTAACATTGAGATCCATAAGAGTATCAACAGGTTAACAATCAAGCATGCCAGTTTCACTAAGAATGTTTAAGGTATACTTGGGATGGTTGATTGCAATGCTGGATGAGGATTGGCCAACTTCAATACCTACGAAGTATCTTAGTGGACCAAAATATTTTGTTTGAAACTTTTGGAAAAGATGAGTTTTGAGTCACTGGATACCCTTAGTATCGTCTCCAGCGATAACAATGTCATCAACATAGAGCACAAGGAAGATGTGTTGACTGGTGGAGGAATGAAGGAAGATAACATAGTGATCTACTTCACATCTAATCATGTCAAATTCTATCAAGGCATAGCTGAAGTGACCAAACCAAGCACGCGGGGATTGTTTCAGCCCATAGAGAGAACGACAAAGCCGACAAACAAGTTTTGAATTTCCAGGAATAGTAAAATCTGGAGGTTGGTCCATATAAATATCATTCTCCAATTCTCCATGTAAAAGGTCATTTTTAATGTCCAACTGATGAAATGGTCAATGATGAATAGCAATCATTGCAAGAAAGAGACAGATTGAACTAATATTGGCCACTAGAGAAAAAGTGTCACCATAATCAAGACCAAATATTTGTGTGTATCATTTGGCTACCAAACAGGCTTTGAAATGAACGATCTGACAATCTGGTCTAACTTTCACTGTATAAACCCATCGAAATCTCACTAAAGTTTTGTCTGGAGGTAAAGTAACAATATCCCAAGTGTTATTTGAATGCAATGTAGTGATTTCTTCCACCATCGCCTGACACCAATTGGGATTAGTTATAACTTCATCTATAGACTTATTAATAGACACAAAATCAAAATCAAACACAAAAGAGACATAGGAAGTAGAGATACAATCATAATTTAAAACACAGGCATATTTAAGATTAAGATGATGAGATCGAAATCCTTTTTGTAATGCTATTGATAGGTCAAGTTCACGTGACATAACTGGAGGAGCATGAGATGGTGATGGTGGATCAATATCATCTCTAACTCTGACGCATGGGGTATTCGTCGCTGGTAGACCTGTAATGAACATGTAATAAGTGTGGAGATTCGAACATCTGAAGTACAATTTTCACCGAGTGATACAGGGGGAGAAAAGAATGTGTTTGTTGGGGCTAACTCAATCATTATGCTCAACAATCTCATGCTAAGTTAATTTCTTTATTTTTTTTAAAACTCTTAGTATTTTGTGACAGACTAATTTAATAAGATCAATCTAACGTCCCATTGTAAGAATTCTATTTGAATCCAAAGCAAAACTGTTTGTAAGAAACACTCTTAAAACTTAAGTTTTCACTACTGAGTTAATTTTTGGAAATTACAAATGGTAGCAAAACAAAAACCAAGTGGTAGTAGGAATAGTAGTAATACAAAAACCAAGTCAATTCCAAATTCCAACACCGTGTAGTGTAAAACAAAGAATGGCCAAACCAAACACAAACATAGTCAATCTTCACTAGTCAACTCAAACACAGCCGCCACTAAAAACGACAACTAATTCTAAATCTAACCAAAAAAAAACACAACATCCTCATTTCTCAAACATGCCTCTCTCAATCTCCACTCTGTTCTTCTTCTTCTTCCTCCTCTTCAATCTCCAACCTTCAACCTCCCAACAACAATTCAAATCCTTCAACACCTCACTCTCACCATGGCTCCCCTCACAAAACAAGACCCTCACCTCACCAAACTCCAACTTCACAGCTGGTTTCTTCCCCATCCCAAACTCACCAAATCTCTTCACTTTCTCAATATGGTTCTCCAAAATCCCTCATTCTTCAGACCCCATCATCTGGAGCATCTCAACAAAACTCAACTCATCTTCTTCTCTCATCATAACCCAAAAAGGTGAACTCTTGCTCAACAATCTTCCCTTTATTGGTAATTCTTCCAATTCCACACAACTTGTTCTTCATGATAATGGAAACTTAGTGTTTGGAAATTGGACTAGTTTTTCTAATCCAACTAACACTATCTTACCAAACCAAAACATCACTGGAATTGAGATTGTGTCAAGTAATAAAAAGTTCAAGTTTATTAAATCTCAGAACTTGATCCTCAATGACAATGATAACTCATCATCATCTCAGTACTATAGTACACCTAGTGCTTTGTTGTTTATGGATGATGCTGGAAAAATGAGTATGCAAAGTAACTCTTTTCTTACTTCTGATTATGGTGATTCTAGGTTTAGAAAACTTGTTCTTCATGATGATGGAAATTTGAGAATTTATAGCTTTTATCCTGAACAGAAAAACACTTGGGTTATTGTTTGGTTGGCTATTTGGGAAATGTGTAAAATCAAAGGGAAGTGTGGACCTAATTCAATTTGTATGCCTAGAGAAGATTTCTACAATTCTACTTTTTGTGTTTGCCCTTCTGGTTTTGAGCCTGTTGAAGGTGGAAGTGAAGTTGGTTGTAAGAGGAAAATTCCACTTACAAGTAACACTCATTTTATTAGGCTTGATTATGTTAACTATACGAGTAGTGGTTCGATGAATCAAATCAATGCTTTAAATTACACAATTTGTGAAGCAAGTTGTAAGAGAAACTCAAGTTGTCTTGGATTTGGATTCAAGTATGATGGATTGGGCTATTGTGTTTTGTTACAAGGTAAAGAGCTTCAATATGGTTTATGGTCGCCCGGGACTGAACTCGCTTTGTTTTTGAAAGTTGATCAGAAGGAATCTGAAGGTTCGAATTTCATTGGTATGACGGAAGTGATGCAGACGACTTGTCCTGTGAGGATAAGTTTGCCTTTACCGCCGAAAGATTCGAACACTACGATGAGAAATATTGTGATTATATGCACGCTTTTTGCAGCGGAACTTATTGCTGGTGTGGCTTTCTTTTGGTCTTTCCTTAAGAGGTATATCAAGTATAGGGACATGGCTACCACTTTGGGGCTTGAGCTTTTACCTGCGGGTGGTCCGAAACGATTTACCTACTCGGAGATCAAAGCCGCGACTAATGATTTCTCGAATCTCATCGGGAAAGGTGGGTTTGGAGATGTCTACAAAGGTGAGTTGCCGGATCATCGTGTTGTCGCGGTGAAGAGTTTACAGAATGTTACAGGTGGTGATGCTGAGTTTTGGGCGGAAGTTACAATCATTGCAAGAATGCATCACTTGAACTTGGTTCGATTGTGGGGCTTCTGCGCTGAGAAAGGCCAAAGGATACTTGTTTATGAGTACATTCCTGGTGGATCATTGGATAAGTATCTCTTTAGAGTCAAATCTCGAAAGGCGAGTGGTGTATCTGAATCCGAACAAAGTCATGATAATAGCTCAAATCCAAGTACCTTAGAGAAACCTGTTTTGGATTGGAACATGAGGTATAGAATTGCTCTTGGTATGGCTCGGGCTATCGCATATCTACACGAGGAGTGTTTGGAATGGGTTTTGCATTGTGATATAAAGCCGGAGAACATTCTCTTAGGCGATGATTGTTGTCCTAAGATATCGGATTTCGGATTGGCGAAACTGAGGAAAAAAGAAGACATGGTGACTATGTCAAGACGGAGAGGAACCCCTGGTTATATGGCACCGGAATGGATAACAGCGGATCCAATAACTTCAAAAGCCGATGTCTATAGTTTCGGTATGGTGCTGTTGGAGCTTGTGAGTGGAGTGAGGAACTTCGAGATTCAAGGATCTGTGGCGAGGAGCGATGAATGGTATTTTCCAGGATGGGCTTTTGATAAGATGTTTAAGGAAATGAAAGTTGAAGAAATTCTCGATAGTCAAATTTCTCATGCTTATGATAGTAAATCACATTTTCAGTTGGTTAATAGAATGGTGAAGACTGCAATGTGGTGTTTGCAGGATAGGCCTGAGGCAAGGCCAACAATGGGGAAGGTAGCTAAGATGATTGAAGGGACTGTGGAGATCATGGAACCTAAAAAGCCAACTGTTTTCTTCCTTGGAGAAGAGTAGCGTCGACGCTTCAGATCGAAGGCGTGTTCGGTGTCAGAAACGTGTCAATACCTTGAATTTTCTTTTTCCATTGTAGTATGTTTTGTTCAAGTGTAATTCATATTTAGTATTGTTGCAAGTGTTGGTGAGACCTGAGCTCTTGTGGAGCTAGCTATCCAAGTTTTATGAATTTTCTTTACGATATAAAGTATTGGAATATTCTGTTTGAAAATAAACATGGGGTATCCAAGTTGTGTAAAGTGAATTGAAATCATTTGTTCTGCTTCAAAATAAACTTGAATGAATTTAGACAAAACAGTGTTTTTCAAGCTTGCAAAAGCAATGGAGGTCCAAAGTTAGTATATGAAAAGATCTTCATAAGCTTGAAGCTAGAATTCAATGAATGGATTATGAGTGATTTTTACACTGAAATTTATTATTCAATTCACTTTTATATAAATGTATTTAAACATAAATCAATTATGCTAAACTCAATTATATTAAAATTAATTCTATCAAATTCAATTTTACTAAAATCAATTATGTTTACCGCCAATTCAAACACATGCATAGTCGATCTCCACCTAATGGAAAATGTTTATGTCACATCGTGTCCCAATTTCCATGTTAAAGTGTGTACTTTATAATTTTCTATCGTGATTACACATAAAAATGGTCATCGATAAAACATCATGACAAAAATTGATTCATATATTCGATCTTCACCTAATGAAATAAGGATTAGTTGTTGTTATTGATTACACATTGTATTCTTAATTAGTTAAACTACTAGCAACATCACTGAGAAATGACCTTTTTTTTTTAAGTAATCGTTGAAAATAAAATGTTGGCTTTTATGTGTGTAGATTATTAACGGACACTATCAAATAAATTATCTGTAAAAATTTAGTTAAAAAATTGAATCAAATCAAATTATAGTAAAAAGTTATCTGAATCAAATCGAACCGTTTGAATTTATCCATAGTCGAATTAAATCAAAATTATTGATTTGATATACCATTTCAAAATTCAAATCATATCAAACGGTTAAAAGATAGTTTTTCACAAACCTAATTATTTATTAAAGAACCAAATCATTGTTTTTTTTCTTCAATTTTTTAATAAAAAATTTAATGTATTTTTACCAAATCTCATTTTGAGTTTTGGTTCGATTTGATTCCCTTTCAGTTTTGATTTTACAATTGTTTGTCCAACATGACTCAATTCACTAATAAAACATAATAGTTCAATTATTTTAACTTCAACTCAATTCGATTTGATAATTCGATTTGATTCGTCCGTTTTTTTAATAGCCCCTAGTGTGTGTATATATATATATATATATATATATATATATATATATATATATATATATATATATATATATATATATATATATATGTTATTTGTCAGAAATTTTTGTTAATACGTGTGTTTGAGCTTGAACAACGTTTGAGCCTCAAAGGGCAACATGGAGTTACTTGTGTGCTATTGCTACCGATATATCTGGACATTAATCATGTAGTTATGATTCTTGATCGTACCTGATCAGAATTGGACCGTCACAACTGGCTTTGAACTGGATTTGAAGGAGATAGGGGAGGTACCTACAAGACACTCCGATGACAAAGTAAGAGACGGAATGAGCAGGCTAGTATAAAGGTGTGAATGAATGAATACCTGACCCTCTTGAAATAGAGGGTATTTATAGCCCCAGCGCTAGGCCAAGGTCCCTTTATTGGGCTGACCAAACAGGCCCAACAAAGGGACTGCCAGGTTCTACGTGAGTAGTGGGGACCTGCATGTGGTCCCCTACCTGGATGGTGCTCTCCGCATAATAGAGGGGGTGAAGACGCGATCTTCCCAGGATCCTAAGGACTCCGAGACATCCGGAGGGGTCGAAAGTCTGCCCTACGAGGAGGGTACTCGAGCAGGGCTTGGATTGGGATGTTCCTCGTCGGGGGCGTCTCTCGTCGGGGACGTCTCTCGTTGCGGGCACCGGCGGGCATGGTCGTATTCGACCTATCGCCCGAGATCGGGTGTGCTCAGAGAATCTAATGTCCAGCATAACACGTTGTAAGGCTTGGATTGGGCCTTACTGGTGATTGGGCCACGGGAAGGCCCAGTCCAAAATAGGAGCCCCCCAAGTCGTTGCTCCTGGTACATGAGTTATTACTTTATTCCAGTTCGCTCTTTCGCGAGGCTTGCGTGCGCGATGTAGGGATTTTCATCCGTCGAGGAGTGTTCGAGGAGCGCTCGCGGGGATGCGTCAGTTGGACACGTGGTGTAGCTCTTAGAAACCACAATGTCGCCCTAGAGAATAGGGCCATCATTGTCTATGCAAGTAGACGTCGAGGACGGGGGCGATTCGTGGTTCCCCAGCGCGACGTTTCATATTCCACGCCATCTCTATAAATAGGGCTCCAGGGCCCATAGTTTGTTTCACCTCTTCACACTTCTCATATTTTCTTTGTTTTCACTCTCGTGAGTCTTCATAACGTCGCTGAGATCGCCGCACCGTTTGTCGTCTGATTACTTCCACCACCGTCGCTCTTCAAATCTTCTTCCAAGTAAGTGTTTTCTCCTTTTGATTTCTCGTGTTGTAGATAGATTTGACGGTGTTTTGGTAGTAGAACCTTGTGTCTGGGGATTATGCCTGATAGATTTAAGCGCGCTAGGCACCTGATTCATGGTTGTGCCCGAGATATTCATAAGTTTAGGCATACGGTGCATGATCGTGCCCGCGACACTCATGCGTTTGGCTAGTAGATTCATGAACCTGGTCGGGAGATTCATCCTTTCGTTAGTATGTAGGCTAGTTTCCCCGTAGTATTCTTTTATCGGGCCAGCAACATTATGAACTTGGTCGCGGGATTCATCCTTCGCCCGAGATACTCATGTTATGCTCACGTCGTTCATGATTGATGCACGTCCGCCGCTGGGGGTCGGTGTTTGGTCGAGGTCCACTTGTTTCCCATTTCTCGTGCGAATGGCCATAGACTCGGTCTGAGTATTGCTTACTTCTCCCCGTCTTTGTGGCGGGCAGGCGGATTTGCTGTCGAATTCACTGGTTTCCTGTACTTTGCAGGTAAATGACCGACATTCCCGAGTCCTCGGGGCGTAACAACGTCGACGAAACAAGCACAGCAGAGGAAACTATTACCCTGGTCGACATCGTCGATGACCCCACATTGATTGGGTCGGTGCTGAACCCTGGGGAATAGCTTCGGTGTATAGCCTTCCCAGTAGACAAGCCTATACTGTCGTCGAGTACAGTGGAGGTGAAGATAGATTTCGAAGAAACTTCAAGATTATGAGGCCGTCGAGGGATGCCCGCATCTGTTCGGAGTTCACACAAGATGCATTCCCCATGTACGAGATCTTATTCAGAGATCTCGGGCTCCGGTTGCCCTTCAATGACTTCCAGGTCGGGATATTCAACCATCTGAACCTGGCCCCCTCCCAACTCCATCCTAATGCGATTTCCTTTCTCCGGGCATTCGAGCTCACTTGTCGCTTCCTGAGGATTGGGGCGACGATTCCCCTGTTCTTTAGGGTTTTTCACTTACAACGGCAGTCCCGAGGAGGGAAGCACAGTTGGGTGTCCCTTAAGCAGTCGAAGAGACTGTTTAGGATGTATATGGACTCCGTGCGAGATTTTAAAGACAAGTGGTATATATTTCAACTGTCTACCCAGACGGCCTTAGATTCGTTGTTCGAATCGGCCATTGTGGTGGACGAGGATGGGGAGCTATGTTTGGAAGTCGAGGGTAATCCCGAGATCGGGCGAGTCTCTAGATTTTCCATTCACTGGTGTTCGGGCCATTACGACCATGGTCCTGGACACTACCACACTCCTGATGGGGGTATGAGTGTTGGGGACGAGGAAGCTTATGGCGTCCTGAACAAGTTTGTTGATGGATTTTTTCCTGCTCGGTGGGTCACGAGGGAAGGGGACGACATTCTTGACGAGGATGGCTATCCGACATTCGAGGCGTGTGCGATTAATACCAAGGCGCTCGCCGAGTGCCAATCTTACGGGCAAGCCGTAGACCTCTTAGGTTTCTTGCTTTGCTCTTATTGTTATTCCTTTTTAATTACTTTTAATGTATGTAGCTAACCCCGGTACGCTTCCTTTGTAGGTCACATGGCGGAGCGTCGTGAAAGGTTGCTGAAGTTAACCTAGGACAAGAAAATCAATAAGAGACTGGTGAGGCCGCAACAAGCCACGCGGATGGGCCCGCCTCCTGACTCGGGCAGGGAAGGATCCAGTGGGTCCTCAGGTTCACCGAACGTCAAGCGCCAATCTGCACTGGTCAGCAAGAAGCGGAGTCGACCAGATGATGGGGTCGAACTGACTGACAGAGGTGCGGCTGCCCGGGCCTTCGGCCTGCCACCTTGCTTCGTGGAGAAAAACTTCTTCGAGGGGTTTCCCTTGACCGTGTCCGACAATGAGGCCGACATCATCATGCGGATTGACAAGGAAGGTCGGAGGAAGCACCTTGCTTCCAGTATGGTTGGTGTGGTAAAGATGGCTGAGATGGCGGTGGTCCTCGTAGGGGAAGGATCGGACTCCACGGATCGGGTCAGAGAGCTGGAGTCGGAGAAGGAGGCTCTTGCGGCCAAGTCCCGTAAATTGAAGGCAGCCCTCGAACGCTCCGAGGAAATGTTCCGCGAGCAGTCTGATTTGTTGTCGGGGGAGAAGGAAAGGGCTGATAGGGCTCTCGAGGAAAGAGATTGCCTTCAGCTTGATAGGGAACGACTGGAGAGCGACAACCAGCGGTTATCGAGAGAGGTCGAGGACCTGAAATCCACTATGCTTCCCGCTGAGGACGAGCTAGAGGGGATGGCTGACTTGCGTACGCGCTCTGACTTTATTGCTTGCATTCAACTCCTAGAGTCGGACTACGTTGGCGCTTTGGCTGATGGGTTTGAGGCTGCGGTGAGCCAGCTATCAGTGCTAAATTCGGGTTTGAACACCAAAGGGGTTGGAGTTCTATCCCAGATCGTTGATGGCCAGG